AAGAACCACATCCTGGAGAACTTCGGCCTTCTGTAAGTCACTTACGGCTCCACGAAACCCGTGGCGATAGCTCCTTTCTTGGTAAAACGAAGAGAAGTGTTTTCACGTTTGTTTGTTGGCCCGCGGTAGCCATGATGATGATGCAGGGGCTGTACCTCACACTGGGACCTCGTTTTGGACCGCAAATAGAGAGTAAGGGGTGACGCGAGTACTGGAGTAGGGCACGAGAGGCGGGCACAATAGGCGGTCACCACAGGCGGACTGTACCATTTCATGTGCGGGGGAGGGGCAATATCTGAAATTCAATGCCGTGTCCCGTTACACACATTTTTGCCTGCTCGCTGCCCCTCTATTACATTACAAAGCACGGAAACATAATTTTTTTGCCAAATATTTTTGGGAGTATTTTGTAAATTACGTAAATTATTATCATATCCGATAGGATTACAATGGGGCATTTGCAATGTGTCAAGCAGGTTTGATTTAACCTCATGATTATATGGAGAAATGGAAGCTTTTCCGAAGGGTAACATTTTAGGAAATTTTATGATTGTTAACATACATATGCCAGATATATCATATACAATCATATACATGTACAAGAAACTCCGTCATGTACTATATATAAGAAGTGGGGGGGGGGGCACGAGAGGCGGAAGATTAAAGCTTTCTCCTAACGTGGAAAAGAACATTTCTGCTCCGACTTTTCTTGGCTTTTCTAGCTATCCTGCACACAAGCAATCTACAATTTCCACTCTATTAGTTTTTAATGAATGTGCTTAATTAGGCTAAAGAGCACATCCTGTTATCAGAACGGGGGGGGGCGGTCACGAGGTCTTAACTTCTCATCAGGCATAAAACACGCAGCCTGTGAGGTCTTGTCTTCTCATCAGGCATAAAACACGCAGCCTATGAGATCTTGTCTTCTCATCAGGCATAAAACACGCAGCCTATGAGGTCTTAACTTCTCATCAGGCATAAAACACGCAGCCTGTGAGGTCTTGTCTTCTCATCAGGCATAAAACACGCAGCCTGTGAGGTCTTGTCTTCTCATCAGGCATAAAACACGCAGCCTGTGAGGCCTTGTCTTCTCATCAGGCATAAAACACGCAGCCTTGAGGTCTTGTCTTCTCATCAGGCATAAAACACGCAGCCTATGAGGTCTTAACTTCTCATCAGGCATGAAATACGCAGCCTGTGAGGTCTTAACTTCTCATCAGGCATTAAACACGCAGCCTGTAAGGTCTTGTCTTTTCATCAGGCATAAAACACGCAGCCTGTGAGGTCTTGTCTTCTCATCAGGCATAAAACACGCAGCCTATGAGGTCTTAACTTCTCATCAGGCATGAAATACGCAGCCTGTGAGGTCTTGTCTTCTCATCAGGCATAAAACACGCAGCCTGTGAGGTCTTGTCTTCTCATCAGGCATAAAACATGCAGGCTATGAGGCCTTCCTTGACCATCCTACGGTCTCATAGCGCCATAGCGATATTAGCCAGAACTGCAACATGTACCGTTGGTGCGGTCACAGAGTTAGGCAAAACTTTAGGGACACCGTTGGGGCGGTAACAGAGTTAGGCAAAACTTTAGGGACACCGTCGGGGCGATCACAGAGTTAGGCAGAACTTAAGCGAGACCGTTAAGGTGGTCACAGAGTTAGGCAAAGCTGTGAGACCGTAGGATTTCTGCACAGAACAATTTCTGCACCTTTCTCTAGTATTGTGTAGCACTACTTTGTACCCGTACGGGGTTCGCCCATGAATACTGTGTTGTGCGGTCGGAACCATTTAAATCTCACGAACATGCAAATGAGGTAATTTGTACCATTTAAATCTCACGAAC